AAAAGAGCATTTGAACTCCCCCTTCAAGAAACAAGAGTCTCATTCCCAATTTATCAACATAGTAAATAGAAACCACAGCGGCAATGACATTGACTCCACCAGTGGTCTGTGGTCACAGCAGACATGAGTGAACTATCAACAACAAAACCAATAGTCTTAAGCAACACTGGTGTATAGTTGTGACGGACAGTTGAAATCAACGTTGAGTGCGTCTCTGTATTTGTATGGAGCCATTTCAGATAGGTATAGTTGCACACATTGCAATTCAATGAAATAAAAACATGTTAACCATCCTGCAACAAAAATATCAAGCTAAATGAAATTAAAAGAAGAAAACAACAAATAGTTAGTCATTTACTGTGATTAATAGACAATGACTGTTTCTACATAGGATAACTCTCTAAATTCAACATTCTACCTAACATGTTTAATACCTCAAGATTCAGATAGTATTTTAATACATTATACACATCTTTAATTTAACATCACAGTTCAACTCCAACAGTTTGTTGGACTTGCAGTATGCATATCACAAATTTGTTGCTATAAAATCAGTAGATCTCAAACTTGGCCAAATGAAACAATTGTGGCAGTTGAACAATATGAGGTTTTAGTTTTGCGATTATAATACACAATACTTTATCTATTTTAAGAAAACATCATAGAAAAGGAGGTGTCAATATACACTTTCTGTGTACTTGAAAAGATAAAAAAAAATCAAATTACAATAAAAACGTACTCCAAACTCAACACTATAATCCTACTTCAAGTAAGGTGCTCTGAACTTGATACTACAAATTGTAAATAATAAAAGCTATCCAACATCAATAGTAAATGTAGTTGGCCGAAACAATGAAAAAGAAAGTTTTTTATTGTACTTCTCTTGAGAACTTTCAGTTGTGTTTATTAAATTTCATCACAAAGATTAACATTCCTACTACAACAATTGAAATCACCTCCTATGTTTCATCAATGATCTATTAAAGTTCAATGATATTTAATGAAACCACTGAACTTTATAGTACAACTCTTTCTTCTACTCAAGGCAGGTTAAGCATGTATATTACGCTAAACAAAAGCCACAATGAGAAATTGAAAAGAACTAATGAAGCACATTATACCAAAAAAATTGAAAGTGATATCCATCTAACATAACACATGTTATGAAAAGTAGGGGACACTCTATGAATTTTTCTTTTTATAAATATAATTGTTGTAGCCTAGAAGAGCACTTTTATATTGTTCTAAGAAGTTTTTCTTCTCCCCTTCAAATTTCCACAACCACGCTTCTACTTGTTGACAACTATGTTGTCTTTGGTTAGATAGACTTATTATAAGAAGAGTATTAGTTTCTAAAATTCATTTAGTAAAATCTGTCAAATGCTTAACTCAATACTTATTGGGAAACTAATTTGTGTAAGATAATTTTTTGCGTGTTCTTTCCCTCACATATAAGGATATTCTGCAGATCATCCAAGAACTGATTGGGCATAAAGTATCATTATCTCGGAGATCATTGTAATGAGCAGACATACAACTTTTCCATTTTTCTTGTGCTATGTAGTTTCATTTCTTCTCAAATTAAACTACTTTTTTCTTTAAACCGGTGAGTTTAAAGAATGGTAGCTCTAGTATTTATCCTATAATGAAAAGCAAAAAGGATTAGGGAACTATGGAGGGGTAAAACAAAGAAGATATAAAGCCTGTTTGGATTGACTTTGGCTTAATTTTGTTATTTTGACTTAGAAATAAGTTCTTATAAGCATTTTGCTTTAAAACACCTAAAACAAGTCAATCTAAATGGGCACTTAATCAAGTATGAGTTACCTTATAGATAAAGGAATAAAAGAGAATTTTAACGGGCACTTAATCAACTATGAGTTACCTTATGGAAAAAGGAGTAAAAGAGAATTTTACAATTATCCTCAACAACAGCTATATGATGATTAAGTTTGAATATGGTTATTCCAGGATGAGGGCAATTTGTAGTTAATTTCACTACAGACTTTTGTTAAAAGTAAAGGTTATTGAAAGGATGTGTTTAATTGAAAGGCATGTGCTCCTTAGTGTGTGAGATTTGAGAAAAAATTGTGTCCAAATAGTACTTACCAATAATCATGACAACTAATATGTCCTTGTAGTAGAACGGTAGAATTAGTAACTTTATTTAGGCCAAGCGTTGCCTAATCTTTCCAATAACTTTTACGGCTTTATCTGAGAACAAAAAATATAGTTTCCGCAATAATTTTCTAAACAGCAAACACTGAGAAAACCGGAAAATTATTGTTATTGATATAAGAAGGAGAAATCCAGAAAATAAAGGTGAAATGGAGAGTTTACACATACAGGGAGGGAAAGATTCATTATTTCTAACTACTAAATTTGATCTTTACTTTTCGTACAGCTGCAACAATACTCATTGAAATAGAGAGTGTGTGTATGGAGAACTAAAAGAGGGAAAGAGATGAGAGAGCTGATATTTGTAGAAATAGGTTTAATGTGTTAGAAATAGCATGTAACATACCATAACTAATGGATTAGATTACTTACCTTGAATCGTCCTTATGAGTCCAAATGGCGGAGTTGGAGTCATGGCAGCCTTGCATAACCACGTATCAATTAATCTCACAGTTGTGTTGCTGGCGATATAATAAGATAATCAATAACCAATCCAGCAGCAACAACTGATGGTGATGTCTGCAAAGCTTGGAGATAGCCACATAGTTGGCAGCTGAAAGAGAGTCGGTAATCATTTCAGCCATTAATAAACGAATTAACAAAATGTCAAATTGTAAATAACTAAGTATTGTAGCATAACTGTTTTACAGAGCAAAATAATAATCATTGCAATAACAGATTAAGACATCATTAAATGACATCAAGTTTGCTATATTTACAACTTCTTCATTTGTAATGTTCTCCATTAGCTACGTTGACTAATATAAAAGGCTGTCACAGAGAAACTTTCATGATGAAATAAAAAAATTTGTAATGTGGATACAATGGGTCTTTGTTGTTAAAGAGGCAACAAGATATATCCAAAGTTGAAACTGATATCATCTTTAGATACTACAATGTTACCAACTTAGTTACTAAAACACATGAATGCTTAAGAAGATTAGTTTTTTTTTCCTATTTCAGCCATGATAAACATTAACAGAAAATAACTAATCAAAAGTTATTCAGTTACACCAAAGAAGAATCGACTTTACCGACAAGTGGCATGGAAAATATGATTTATTGAATTTCGAGCAGGAAGAGGGAAACAACCCGAAATCAGAAATACTTATCTGTTACTAATAAAGTTTCTGTTAAAATATAGCCAATAATGTAATGCTTAAGCATTTCTCCGAAGCGAGAATAGTATGACTTACAATGTTATAATCCACTTCTTGTAATGACTAAATTGGTGATAAATTTTAAACTTTGACTGGAATAGATACAAAAAGGCTGACTCTTGTTCATAGTTATCTATCCCAATATCCCGATAGCATCTCATGAGTTAACAAATTTTGAAGTATTCACAGAAGTGTAAACAAGATTTTTCAAAATCATTACCTAAGCTGCCAAGGGGCATGCCATGATCCTCCATCTGACACGGCAACTTGGGACCTTCTCGCATTCGATGATATGTTCTTCATCCTCTAGAAGTGTGTTGATGTCCACTCTATTTTCCACATTTGCATGTGAAGTAGAACTCCATGATCATTTGGAACAGAGAAAAGAAAATGTGATCGTATAACAAATCACCATACCCATAAAAACAAAAAATGAATATTCGACAAAAAAACCAACAATTTATACATCAAACACATAGTAACATACTTTTTTGAAGAGTTTGATCGCCAATTGATAAGAGATGATCACGAGATAGCAAAAAAGTGGTTTAAGAAGCATTGTCAGTCATCCAAAAACAATATAAGAACATATATATTACCATAGACACCGACTGAATTTCACGTGCCAATCACGGTAAAATTTGACATATCACACACAAACTTAGCGTGTTTTCCTTCGGATTGCTTTAGTTCTTCAAGATCAGCATCTAAAAGCAGAGAAGCATACTCTTATTTTAGAGGTGAACAAAATTATTAAAGGTCCAAAATATAGAAGCATTCGACATATTTAAGCAGTGAACATTCACCTTTCAATTGGACTTGTGTTGTAATGTTGATGCCTACAACATGAATATTTGTCCCCCACGTAAACACAACATCAGCAGCCTCAGGGTCCCCATATATATGCTTCGTCAGCAAACTAAGCAAATGAGTAAACAGTAACAAATTGGATAAGTGAATACAACAAAGACTCTTTCTTCAGCTTTGTATATTGTAAGACATTACAACAACAACAGCATGCCAAATGTAATCTCATAAATGGGGCCTGGAAAGGGTGGTGTGCATGCAGACCTTACCTCTACCTTTTTGAAGTAGAAAGGTTGTGTCCGATAGACCAGTGGCTCAAAAAAGCATATCAATGCAAGTTTAAAAAAGGAATTGTAAATATTATAGTATTTATATACCCCATTGGGAAAGAAATCACCCACATTTGCTTGTGCGGCAGGGTTAACATTTTCTACAGCAAAAGAGGAATCACCAAGTACAACCACTCTCTTCACCTTGCTTGCAAAGGTTGAGTCCCACTTGACAGCTTAACTAACAGATAACAATGAAACTTTTGTTATTGCAATGGAAAAATTGGAAACTTAAAAATCAAAAGTTTTAAGATACGACATACCAAAGCCAAGTTTGTCAATGGTCTTAATGCAAGTATAGACATTTCACCAGGATATTCAGAAACTTTTTCCACCAAGAATTCAGATACAGACTTGTCGATTTTTTTTGAATTTGGAGAAGGTAAAAATAAGTTGCCTAATCCAACTGAACCATGAACAAAGTCTACAACACATGGTTCCCCTCTATAGCAAGAAACAAGAGTTAGGTTAGGTGACAGTGTGTTGAGAAGCTACAAGGGAGAAAGGAAAGTAAGCATAAGCTGAACTTTTTTTTTTGTGTAAAACCAACCATCGTTTTGCCTATTTAATCTATTCTAATATCTATCTACACGGTAGAAAAAACTTAAAAAATTAGCTTCATGTTACGTATGTTCAAGTGATGCTGCAGTAATTACTTGTCTCTTTGGAATATACAGTATGTGAGATTGCAAAGAGAAAAAAATGTTACTATTAGAAGG